TGCTGCTCCTCATTCCATAATCTGCGTGGTAGCATCTCAGGCAAAATTTCCTTCACCCACCGGGCCCAATACATGTCAGCGAGTCGTTGTGCCTTACGCCATTGTTTTCTTAAACACAAATCATCTTCATCAAATGTGCCAATAACAGGTGAGTTAGATGAAGATCCTAAGAGGAAGTGATTAGGAGTCAAGGTCTCCTCACTGCCTGGTTCGACCGAGACATGACCCAGTGGTCTACTGTTGACCATGTTTTCAACCTCTGCTAGAAGGGTGATCAAAATTTCTTCTTTAGGTGCCCGATCATTAAGTACAATTTGAAGTGACGTTTTTACTGACCTTATTAGTCTCTCCCAGGCCCCACCCCAATGTGGGCTTGCAGGAGGTATGAAGTGCCACTCCAAATTTTTGTTAGCACCTTCGTTTTTTAGGACCTCAACATCTAATGCGCTTGACGAGCGTTGCAACTCCTTATCAGCGCCCCGCAGGTTAGTTCCGTTGTCGGAATATAGATGTTTTGGCCATCCACGACGAGCTGCCATTCTGCGCAGTGCCATGATGAGGGAATCTGTGGAAAGAGATGGTACAAGTTCTATATGAACGGCGCGTACTGTTAAGCACGTAAAGAGAACGCCGTATCTCTTCTCTCTGCGTCTCCCCACAGTAACCTCAACCGGTCCGAATAGATCCAAACCACAAAATGTGAATGGTCTCTGATGGTGTGATACTCGTGCTACAGGTAAGTCCCCCATTCTTGGTATTTGTGGCTTTGACTTCCGTATCCTGCAAAACATACATTCGTATGCGACTGATTTTACAGTTGGTCGCAATTTAATAATCCAATATTTTTGTTTCAGCTCGTTGACGACGGTCTCCTGATTGCCATGGGCTGCCTTGCGGTGATGGTGTCGTACTATAAGCCGTGCTACTGGATGTCGTCCGTCTAATATTATTGGTCTTTTTGTTTCCAGATCCACGTTTCTTGCAGCATCTATGCGGCCACCAACGCGGAGTATACCACATTCATCCAGGTAAGGGGTTAAGGTAAGTAACTTACTTGTACGTTTAATAGCTCTTCCGTTACCCAATGCAGCTATTTCGGCAGCGAACGACTCATGTTGTGCATGTTTCATAATGATTAGTTCCGCTTCTTTTATTTTGTTACAATCTATCTCAGCTGCACGTTTTCTACATCTATCGATGAAAACCAAAACGGCAGGCATAGCTCGCAGCAACCGCAACCACGAAGAAAAACGAACAGGTTCGGGTACAGGTAAGTCAACAGGTGAGGCTTCATTTACTGTTGCGCATGCGGCATTCACTTCGCACATTGCAGGTTGAATCACATCCGCAGGCCATGCTTGTTTCGCCATATACAAAAATTTCGGACCTGAAAACCATTCACTGTTAAAGATAGAACTGTCAAATACTTCTCTAGTAGCCAAGTCAGCGACATTCATTTTAGTCGGAATGTATCTCCATTCGTTTATGTGCGTGAGTTGATCTATCTCACCTAAACGGTTGGCTTCGAATGTTTTATAAGTGCGCGTGTTGTTCCTAATCCAATGCAGGACTGTAGTAGAATCACACCAAAGAACACGCTCAGTGACCGTTAATGTATGTTCACGTATAATGGAATCCATAAACTTAGCAGCTAACAATGCAGCTTGTAACTCGGCCCGTGGCATCGTCAGTTGTTTGACGGGCATGACACGACACTTACTTCCAATCAGAGCGACTCTTGTTTTGCCATTATCGCTCCAACGCCAATAGGCTACGGTACACATTGCTTTGGCTGACGCGTCACTAAAAACATGCAGTTGTAAATCGTTATAATAACCTTTCGACGTAGCGACAGATGTCGTCGTAGCCTGCTCGTAGCAGTAGGCCGTCGTAGCGCGGTCCGTAGACGTTGACGTCAGAGGGCCGCATGCGTCGCGCGCGGGAGAGGGGCACTCATTATCGGAACGGCTGGATGCGTTTTCCTCGTAGCCGCTTATCTGTTCCTCGGCCTCACTCGCTCCGGCTGCATTATAATAATATCTTGCCACTCGTACTTTGCTAACATTTTTTAGCAAGTTAATCCATTGACACCATTTGGTGTAAATGCTATCAGGAATGCAATCATCCCATCCTATGTTCAATCGCCAAGTATTCTGTAACATAATGCGTCCCTGAATAGTGAATGGTGATAAAAATCCAAATATGTCAAAAATTGACATTATTACTCGCAGCATTAGCCGCTTCGTAGGCCTATCTTTGCCCACAAGAACATTTTCGGGGATGCGTTTTAGGGAAACATCGAACCCCAACTCATCCGTTCCCGGGTACCAAATTAAACCGAGTGTACGTTCACCATCATTTTGTCCTGCAATTTTGAACCTTATAGCAGCAGAACCTAAGGTATCTTTTTCAACACTTTCGAGCACAGCGAGACTATTACTTGTCCAATTTCGAATTTCAAAGCCACCACAGCTATGTATATAAGAAACATTTTTTACCATATTTATTGCAGTTAATTCGAGGTAAACTTTGAATATAGTCATCCATATAATGTGAATTTCTTATCGCGTCAACAGCGGCCGGGAGTGATGACTCATACGGCGTTGCATTCAAGTTTTTTATAAACTGAGCTACGAACGGTGAACAATTGGCACCAAATATTAACGAATTCATTACATACGTTTTGATGGGCTCGTCAGGGTTGTCTCTCCAGAGAAACCGTAATGCATGTTGATCTTGTTCACGGATTTTCACTCTGAGAAACATATCCTTTATATCACCCGTTACTGCAATACCATTTATCCTAAAGCGCAGCATAATTCCATAAAGTGATGATAAAAGGTCAGGCCCTGTAAGTAAATAATCATTTAAACACGAACCATCAACTTTACCAGCCCCATCAAAAACAAGTCGTAACTTTTTTTTATAAGTATTGTCTACACCAAAATGTGGTAAATACCAAGTTTTATTTGTTATCGTTGTATCTTTTAACTCTCGGGCATAATCATTTTGTAATAAATGATTAATGCGATCCGAATATCTTTGAGCGAAACCTATATCTTTTGTCATTTTTTTCTCAATACTCAATAACCTTTTCAAAGCACTAGGGTAAGAATCTGGCATTTTACAATTTTTATCTTTCCAGGGCAACCCTACGTACCAACGACCATCGATAAGTTCAGCTGTTTTTTGTAGCTGTGCCACGGCGTGAGTATCATTTGCGTTTTGCCTAGGTTCACCCGTAAGACCAAGGGAATCCAATGCGAACGAACGTTGTACCTCGTCGTGTAAATTCTGCAGTAGGTAGGTATCATCATCATCGTTCGACCCTGAGACAAAACGTGTGAGACAGACAGACTCGCGCAAGAGTGGCGCGCCCCGCCGAACGGGCACGGTTCCGTGAATACACCAACCTAAGGGCGTTAGCGTAGCAGACGGCTCAATAGCGTTCCCTAACTTAACATCTAATGGTAACAACAAATGATAGTTATCTTGGCCAATTAACAATTTCGGTTTAACATCTGACATATGATAGTTAAATTTAATTTCCTTTAAATGCTCATATCTACTATAATCGACAACAGATAACCTTTGAATCGGCAAATTTAGTTCATTTACACTATGCATGGTAATTGTACTAATCGAACTATTGTCCATACCTGATATGTTTACATTCATTACCGTAGCATCGCACACAAGTTCGTTGTTAGCCCAGGCGCCGCTCACGCGCATCGTGTGGCGGCGGCCGCGCAGGCCGGCGCGCGCTGCGAGCTCACTGCTTATCAGTGATACTGTGGATCCGTCGTCGAGTAGCGCATATTCACTAAACACACCGTTTGGGCCGTGTATACGTATGGGAACGACCTTTAACAAAACTTTACACTTATCACTCGCGTTTATATGCGTGACGGTTTCACTATTGCCACTACTTTGTTCCTGTGAGGTGGATCGTTGCACAATAACATTATCACGGTGCTCGCCGCTGTAGTTATAATGTAATAGACGATGATGCGCTTGATTGCAGTTGTCTCTGTCGCATAAGGGCGCTGAGCAGGTTTCTCTGTTGTGGCGGGCGGTGAGACATTTAAAACATATGCCGTTTCGTTTGATGTGCTCCCATCTCACTTTGCGCAATGCTCGTTTGAACTTTTTGCATTCGGTTAGTTTATGAGCAGATATTTTACAATAGCTGCATTTTTCATTCGCAGCGCGTTCGGACTGTACTAGAACTGTCTGATAGTGAGAATTGTGACTTATAGCTTTTTGCTTCATGTTGTCACTGCGACTGGGATTAAAATAGATGCTTGCAGCAGTAGACACCTTCGTGGCTTCATCATTTAAAAACTCAGCTAATATCATAAGTCTTGATTTCTTATTTTCATTGATCAAAGGGTAACTGTAATCGGTCCATTTTGAAAGTAGTACAGACGGAAGTTTGCTCAATATAATGGACACAATATTCATGCCATACAAATATTCTTCGCGTCCCACGGCTCGTACGGCTTCTACAAAATTTTGTATTTTGCAGGAAAAAATAACAATATCCTTCTGATATTCGTTTGGCATGGGTGGTAACTTTTTCACATCTTGTATGATTTTTGAAATCAAGTAATCTGGGTTACCAAATCGTAGTGCTAAGGTCGTCATTATTTTTGCTGGAGACGTTGCACTTATTAGCAGGGCAGACACGGCTTCTTTAGCGGTGCCCCTGAGACATTTTCGTAACCGCCACAGGTTTTCCTTCTCGGTGAAGTTACACACTTCCGTGGACTCGTCGAACGCCTGCTTGAACTGTAGCCATTCCAATGGTTCACCGGAAAATTCAGGTAAGTCTCTCGGTGTGCTAATGCGGCTCAGTAGGTTGGCGTTACCTCCGTTCGTGGTCACATTCTTTAGTGCGCTAGCAAGCATTTCAATAGTCGACGTCTCCGTAGTACTAGCTTTGTTTTGCAAAGGTGCTAATGGTGCGGACGGCGTCGGCGGTATGCCTTTCAGTGCAGGGCGTGGCTGGTGAGGGGCCGCTGTTTGCAGCTGAAGCGGCTGTGATGGTGGCGGTGGTGCTGCGGTATCGGATGGCGGCGCGGGCGGCGCTAGCGGGGTGTACCAAGTGGTGCGCGCCTGTGCCGGGTGCAGCTGGGGTTGGTCGTCGGCCGCCGGCGTCGCCCACTGCAGCGCGGGCGCGTTTGGCGGCTCCGACGGTACCGAACCGATGGTCTGCTGGTGGGCCGTTTCCTGCTTGACTCCCTCTAACCATTTGTTCACGAACACCTGAGGTCCTTCTTCTTCATCTTGTGAACTGTATTCTTCGTCGAGACTCGCGATATTTACCTCCAATTGTTTATCTATTAGCTCCATACGTATCTTTGCTTTCTCTGCATGTGCCTGTAACTCGAGCTCGAGACGTTTTCGCCTGGCGGTGGAAGATGCCGATGACTTTCTCGACTTTACGCTTTTCGCTGACGATTCTTTCCGCTGGACTTTCCGCTCTTCAGGTTCGGTAGGGTGTGCGGATGGTGCAGACACTCCTGGAAGAACGTCCTCGCAAGTTTGCTGCGCTTCCGAATGTTCTCGACGCGACGCACTTCGAGTGTGTACCATTTTCGACGGTGTTCGGTACATTAGATCCGGCTCGAAGACCACTTTTGTAGCAGTGCCGAGGTACACACTCAAATAAAATGCGCAAATCCGGGTTACAGACTGTTTATTGCAAAGCACGTGGAAAATATGGAACACAAGGTGACGTGAGGTGTCGTCGAACATAGATCGCGGACTGGCGGCGGGAAGCCGCTGCGTAGTGCTCGCAGGCACCGTTACACAAAAATATCAAAATACCTTAAAATAAAAATTACAAATAAAAAATGTATGAGCGCGTCGCTAACAAGAAATAAGAATTTTAGTTCACAATTTTCCGATAGATGTCGTTAGTACCCAAGTTACCTCACGCTATCGGTGTGCTTTGGTCATTTGTATAAGATGTTTATATTTTTTGATACTCCCTAGTGTTCTTCTACAGTGATAAATAAAAGGTATAAGTGAGTGTGAGTGTTTAATTGACCAGTTATATTTTAAAAGGTTTTCGAAGGGTGCGGGTTCGAGTCCCGTCTGCTGCCTGGTCCGCGTGGAATTTTTTCTAGTTATATTTTCTTTAAAAATATTACTCTTTAAGTATAACTATATTTAAGTTTATTAATTGAGTCACTTAAATGTAATATAACTACATTTAAGTCCTCAATTGCTTTCTTTTTAATAACCATTGTTTTGTCCACAGTCTTCTTTTTCTTTTTTTCTCATCTACATTTGTAGTTAGAGCCAAGATTAATCCAATTTTTTGTTTCTTGGTAAGAGACAACCTAATACAAACAAGTCCGTTCAGCAGAGGCAACAAATAAAACTGAAATTGGCGATCTTGTTGTGTATGTGTAGACGGACGACCAGATTGTACCCAATTCAATCGGCAATCAGCTTGGCAATCAAATTGTGTCGTGTGGAAGGGGTTTTAGCGAGAACAATACATCCTGCTTGGAGCGCTAAAATGTTGCATCGCGCGAGTTTACGTATACAAATCCGCTTGATGAATTTATGTTGCATTTTAGTGTCTGTGAATTGTTTTATTATTGTAAATAGGCAGTTTGATTATTAATATTATTGTGATTTGTAAATAATTTAGTTATAATTGTGTTATTTTCAAAGTCAAAGATGGATTTAATCAGAAAATGCCAAGTACAAAATCTAAGCAGCCATAGTGCTTTTTCTTTATTCCCTAGATTACCAGAAAGGTTACACACAGGCACAGATTAAATTATCATTCTCCATACAGATAATCAAACTTATGCTATGCATGACTTAATATCACAACATCTTCCCCTTAAAAAGTACAAAAAATCTTAACTAATTGAACAGTAACAGTAATTTTATATAATAAATGGTATTGCTATGGTGCTGAACCTAAGCTATGAAAATTATATTCTGCGGCTTTAGTTTAATAAAATATTATTGATAACTTTTGTGGACAAAAATACTATTCCATGTAATATACTTATTTATTTAAAAGAAACTGTGTACAACATATGAAAAATATGGTATATGAAAAGACCGATGACCATTGAGCAGTAATTTAAAAGAGGTGGCGCTGTAGTGCACAACCACAGATAATATTATGCATTAAACAAGGCGTGAAATTTAAACATACATTTTACTTTAACAATTATGAACTTTGCTTTGGTGATTGCATTATTTAAGTTAGCGATCTAAGGCAGTTGCCACCAGTGTCCAAAACAACAGACGGGAATTATTGCTTTCGTCAACCTGCGCCAGCGACCTTAATGTCATTGATTGGTATTGTATATAGGTTGATTAACAACATTTGAATTTAAACTCTGGCGTCTACATATTTGGTTTCTGTGAATTATGTAGGTATATCAAATTATGAGACTAGGATATGACACTATATTTGTGTATTTCATAATTTTAGAGTCGGACGTTAACATGACAATGCAGCCACTGCCAATTTTAGATAGTCGACGAATAAAAGTAAATGAATTTTATATTTACTTCTAAACTGCTAAAAAAAACATAAACAAAAGATGACTGTTTGAATGAGTAATAGTTAATTATAAAATTTACATGCATTACATATATAGGTAACGACTTGATTTAACTTCACACATTTTTGCGAAAATTGAGGCGTATCTTTAGCCTTGACCCTGGTGATAAGGTCTCTGTGTCGTAATAAATCAATCGGTTTAAAACCACTGCTAGGTACTTAATATTTCCCGCGATATTTAATTCCCGTACTGAAGTGACAAGACTGCGGTATATGCCCTCTTATAATCCTAATTAAAAATAGTGAAATAAAAACGATAAATTTAAAAAATCCCACAGTTCAGTTTTTATTTGAAGTATAATTAAGCAGTCGAGTTTTTTGTTTTTTTTTAAATTTACCTTTTTTATTTCACACTTTTTAGTTAGTAAGTATTTTAAGACGGTATATACCGTAGTCTTGTTACTTCAGTAAGGGAATTAATATCGCGAGAATTATTAAGTACCTTGCGGTGGTCTAAAAGATTGATTTATTAAGACATATAGAGACTTTACCAGCGGGGTCAAGCATGCAGTGGGGCCTCAATTTTCGCAAAAATGTGTGAAGTTAAATCAAGTCGTTACATAAATATCTAATGTATGTAAATTTTATGGTAAACTAGCACTTATTCAAAAATTCATGTTTTGTTTATATTTTTTTAGTAGTTTAGCAGTAAATATAAAATTCATTTACTTTTATTCGTCGACTATTTAAAATTGGCAGTGGCTGCATTTTCTTGTCAACATCCGGCTCTAAGATTATGATATACACAAATGCAGTGTCATATCCTAGTCTCATAATAGCAGCATTTTAAATGAAATAAAATGCATATTAAAATACTTACCTCACTGAAAGCTTTATATTGAGGTAGCACTTCCGTTTCCCGTCGAATTACCATCAGTTTCCGTACTTTTATTCACCTTATATCCGGCCCATTGGCGACACCTGGCAGAAGCACGGCCATTTTTGTTTTCCTAAGTTATGACAGCGCCATATTAACTCATTGGCTCAATTATTTCACCAGGCAGAATTTAAAGTGAAAGCTTTCAGTGAGGTTAGTATTTTAATATGCATTTTATTTCAGGTAAAATGCACGGCATTTCTAATATTGCAAGTTTCTCTCATTACGCGATCAAAAGAGTGAGCAACCCATTTGGTTTACTTTTGTTATTTTCAAGAGAACATATGTTATCATCTATCTATCTGGCAGATAGTCCTTAAATTGCAGAAAACTTAGAATTCTTTACATATTTATAGTGTACTGCACTTGAGATTGGAGTTTGATATATATTGGATTTAGATAAACAAGCTTTTAAATGCCATGCGATACCATTAAATTTATTTAAGAATTATTTGTGGTGCTCCCAATTTATCAACTGTCCTGCACTAAATTTTTTCAAACATTAATTGATTCGATATTTCTTTTTCTTTTTTTATTACAGCACGTCCTCGATAACTACATTACGGTAGAATAACCGTAGTGATCGAGTCAACACTTCACTCCAATTAGCCTAGCCTCATAATAGGCATTGAAAGGCTTGTGTTATGGGCTAACGCATAGAAATGCATAATGTTGATGCATAGATTAGTATGATTTTGAATTAATATTTGATGATGAGGATGCTAGGGTAACGGATAGAATACATATACTGTACATATATAAGTATATTTATATAAATACATATTAAACATCCATGACTGGAGTACAAATGCTCGTATTCATAACACAAACATCTGCCCCCACCGGGATTCGAACCCGGGACCTCTCGAGTCGGCGACAGCCATGAAACCCGGCGTACAAACCACTCGGCCACGGAGGTCGTCAAATTATTACTGCAGCTGCTCGAAGAACAATTATGACTAGATCCACACATCTTGCTGCTTTTGCCACTAATGCCAGTCAGTCGGCGGCTGAAACGTCAATATTGACCGTTGTTCCTTCACTCTAAACTGTAAAATAATTTAATTAAGTATTTTGTAATACATTTACCAATTTACTTTCACACTTACTTATACGAAAACATTAATTGAGTACCAAGAGAAAACACTCTTAAAATAGTTTTTATTAAAAACGATCAGGACAGTCGTAGAGTATTGCAAAATTTACTCTAATGTAGGTACTTTAATTTTTTAAACAAAACGCACCTAGAATGACCGTCAAGTTTTACTCACGGCTTATTATTACTTTTTTAAACAAGGGTATTGCACAATTTAACATATTTATTTTAAATATCCCTTATCACAAGGGCTGCAAAAACTATCAAAAAGAATAATAGTTCACTTTTAACACGTAAAGTATAGGTACTTGGAATAACACGAACGGCAAAAACCGTTAAAATAAAATAGTTTTACTTACAGTTTTATCACTTAATAATAATAAAACCTTTAAAATCTCACAACGATCGCTCAGATTGAGCACGTGTTGCTTCGACGGGAGTCAGAACGCATATGAGTTAATATGGCGCTGTCAAAACTTAGGAAAACAAAAATGGCCGCGCTTCTGCCAGGTGTCGCCACTGGACCGGATATAAGGGTCAGGCCGTAAATTTTGCCACATTAGTTACAACATAACTCTCTCCGCCACATTTTAAAAAAAAAGTACGGTAATTACATTTTTTTCAATAACAGAATCATATTTCCTCACAAATGGTGAATCGCGAT